AGGATGAAATTTAATAAAAAAAAACTGAATTTAAGAACATGATGAGATGAATTCTATATGCATACTCCAACCTCCCTGAAAAATAGGTAACTGGGAAATGAAGTAAGTCATTCTCTGGGTCAAATAAGCCTACTAAGCTAACTTCTATGTCTTGTAAAATAACTCTATGAGATAAGAAATCAAAGGAACAAGCAAGCCATTTGGTAACTGAGACAAAGTGAGTAAGAGCCGCAGAAAGAGAAACATGTAAATCAGACACTTTCTCCTGAGAAAAGGAATCAGAAGAATAGCTTAAAGCTAAAAACTAAGCTGATGACGTAAGTCATATAATAGGCATAATTAATGAGGGAAGGTGAAAATACTGATGAGGAGGCAGATTGCAAGACCGCCAACCTAAAACAAAAACAACCTGAGGTTCTAAAGTTATAATTTTCCTATACTGAAAATGTATTTCCGATAGGTACTTACCTCCTATTACATAAATAGCTATTCTGGTTCAGTGCTGCCCTCTATATGCAAAATTTTGTTGCACATGCCACAAGTCTTGAAGCTCCCACCTATCTTTGAATTGAGTGACTCAAATGCATCTCACATGAAAATCATCATGTGACAACCCTCCACCAGTAAGAGTGCAAAACACTCTTTGACATGTGACTCCCTCTATTTAATTCTACAAAACTATTGCTTCAAGTTTTGGCAGAAAATGGAAGCAGTGATTTTCAATGGGGAGGAAGGTTGAGAGGAGATAAGTTCCTATCGGAAATACATTTTCAGTATAGGAAAATTATAAGTTACAATAAGATACATTACTTCCACTCACATAAATTACTAGAAGTGGAGTGATTGGTGCAAGAGAAAGAAAGAAGCATTATTTGAAAGTGTCTAAAGGAGACCCCCCAAAGAGTAGATCCTGGTAGTAGAAGATCATACATCGGAGACCGCACCACTTCTATACCAGGTATATTCTTTGCTGATTGTGGAAAAGTGTCATATATATAGGCGGAAAGACAGAGAAGCACTTCCAAGAGGGAGAGATCTATGGTAAGATAGGTATCTAAACCATATGATGTTTATTAAACTCAATCCCAGAAAACGTAAAAGTGGGTAAGAAGAAGAAAAGGATATGCCCCTAAATGAAGAGTGGTTAGGTTGAGACGGACTGTACATGGCAAGTCAACTATATTTAAAACCCATGCCACTGGGAACCAACATCCATGCACGGGTAGGATGAGGATCATATCGCCGGAAAGTCAACTACAATCCAAAACCCAAGCCACCAGAAACCGACATCCGTGTGGGGGTAAGAAAGAGGATCATATGATGAGCAAGTCAATTACAGTCCAAAACCCAGCCATCTGGTGGGAGTAGGAAAGAGGATCATACTGTATTCACCTCAAGTTTATGAGATCGGAGGGAATCTCATACCCCCCTGACCCATGAACGAGACACATGATAACAATGTGAGAAATTGATTAATCGATCTGGGAACCCAACATCTAGCATCAAAGAGATGTCTGTATGATATAAACCATCTCATTTAAATTTAAAATGACAGGAACTGCCCCAAGTGCAGTAACATCCTCAGAATAATAAGAACATTGAGGGATAGTGGAAGGAGAAGAACCGTAGTAATCTGCAAGTACCTCCATCATGACCAACAACACGAATGGAGTAACAAGAGTATAAATGAGTGAGGATTTATGTTGACTGGTTCAGCTTTAAATACAAAGCTCAGCCCCTGTGAACCTACATCCATGTGGGGTAGGATGAGGGACCCTAATAGAATGGGTGAACTGCAATATTGACAGCTCACTCCATTGTTAAACAATGGAGGATATCTTATCATCTACACCTGCAGAACACCCCCACCCTACTCTCAACTGAATGGTTTTATAATCATTTATATATATTATTTGTATTTCATTAATATATTCAGGAGGATGCCTCTATGGTCAACCACCCCAGCAGCTTGGAACTGGAAAGTGGTAAGGACTCTCAAACTCCACTAGAAGAAAATGGGGGAGAAAAAACAGTGGAGAGTCTGGATGAACAACAACACCTGAAACAGTGCAATGCATGACCACAAAACCCTATTTTGAAAAGCAGACCATACTATTTATTCCATACAATGCATGGCTGGGATAGGCAGCTATCCTCTTCTGCCGTGAAAACAATGAAGTAACTCACAGCATGTACTAAACAGAGGTCATCTGGATTCTACCAAAAAGAAATAAGGAGGATGGTAAGAAATGAAAAAGTGGAAACAAATATACTACATGAGCCACTAAAATGTTGGTTAATAAAATCGATCCAGAACAAAAGAAACAAATCAAGCCAAAACAGTTGAGAAAACCAAAGCAGTACTGGCCAGGAAAGATCAATCAGAAAGATCTGAACTGGAGTGACATGAATTTGGGGAAGAAGACTGATGGAAAAACTACCATTATAAACAGGATGTAAATCTGTCTGAACTTAACAACAGCCAGGCTAAGTGGATGATGAAACAGAGACCAAAAACAAACAAGGTAACTAACTAGGAATTGATAAAAGATTCAAAAACTTCATGTGGAGAAGTACCCTACAAGAGGCAGAGCCGCCAAAAATTAGGAGGATCAAGATATCACTCCTACGGAGAAATTGTGTTGGGACTGGAAAGTCAATTAACGAGGACAAACATCTGGAATACCACTCTCCAAAAGACATATGTTAAATGTGTGGGTTCAAAAAAGGAAATCCACTGTTAACAAAGGGAACAAGAATGAATGTCCACTTGGTGAGTGATATAAGTTGCCACTATCAAAAGAGTCAAAATGAAACAGGATTAGTGAAAACCGCACAAGAGGAAGAGAGTGAACTAAAGCACCTTGGACTGGTGGAAGTTCCCAGCTGTGAAGAGGATAAGACCTTTCATCTGTGCATCGTTGACCTAAACCCTCCTACAAAACCACACCCCTCACCTTTGGAGATGAGCATCAGGGAAAAGAAACAGAGGGGAGGAAGCAGTAAACCCAACGTTGTAGGGGATATGTTCAACTATCAACACATATAGAAGAAGAGGGAACAATGAAAATTAAGAGGGAAAACCCAAATTAAAGGCTTGGATAACAGAAAACTCCTTTAAATACATTTGAGGAGAAGAATGGATGGTCCCGGTGGAGGGGTGTTTAAAAATACACACCCCAAAGAGACTAGAATATGAGGTATGTAACAGGAAAAAGAAAATAAAAGTGATTGTTATAAATTAAGTAAGTGTATAGTAGCAATAGCATATGTATCAGACATGTATGGAAGAAAAACAATATAGTTAAACTAATGATGGATATACCAGTAGATTAATTACACTATTTACAGGCAATCCTAAAATAACAAAAACCATGGTAAGCCTAAGTGAATGGTATAGGTGAAAAGATACAATTAAGACTAATTGCTAACCTGAACTTCAATATGAGCATTGATCAATCTAACAAAAATTATGTTATGGAACTAAAATAACTACAAATAATAATATTAAACATAAAATTATTCAAAAACCATAACAGTATAAGGTCTTATCTTTCCAAAGTTGGCAGACTGTATGTCATAATGTGTGGGCCCTTAAAATCAAGGCAAGGCCCGAAGAAGGTCGGCTCTTTGGATGATCAATCTTCTGATGAAGTAAAGCCAAATATCTTCCAGCAGAGTACTGCGACATAAAGCCTGTGTAAATGTGCTGATAGAACATATATAACCTCCCGAAGTGGTAACATAGAATTCATAATGCAAAATGAATAACCAAATACAAATAAATAAAAAAGTATTGTAATGAAATAAAAAGTTCTGTAATCGGGTAGAAATATAAAATAATTCCATTCGGAATAACTTAACAAGTTACAAATATCACTACTGTATAATAAAGAGTAAATTTGTTGAGAGAAATTAATACAAAGATATGGAAAAAAGAAAAAGAAGCTCTTGAAGAGAGCACAAACTAAACGTTACAACACAAGTACTTCCAAATGAGAAGTGATAGTTTGGTAGAATTGAATAGAGGGAGCCACATGCATCAAGAGAGTGTGTTGCACTCTTATTGGTGGAGGGTTGTCACATGATGATTTGCATGTGAGATGCATTTGAATCAATCTATTCAAAGATGGGTGAGCGCTTCAAGGCTTGTGACATGCAAAAAATATTTTTGCTTATAGAGGGCAGCACTGAACAAGAATAGCTATTTATGTGAGATGAGGTAATGTATCTTACTGGAAGTTTCAGATATCATACGAAGACACTGCTGAAAGGCCAGAGGAATAAAAACAGGAGGCAAAGGTTATACCTCGGAATTGCACAGATTTCTAAAAGCATCAGCCACAACCTGAAAGTCAGAAGAAAGTGGAAAAATAAAGATTTCAAAATGAAACCTTGTAATACTACACTAGAACATTCAGGTGCAACAGAAATTGATACAAAGGTTACAATGTTATGTACCTGAAAAATAAGAGAAATAAATTCAGCAGAAGCCTCATCAGGACAAATCCTGCTTCTCATACGAAGGTGAAAAAGGATGTGCAAAAGAACCAGTTTGTTCACGAAAAAGAAAGGGGCTGATGACCCATCAAACTACCATCTATACTCACCAGGGAAGCCCACAGAAATCTGCAGGAATAAAGCTTTAAAAGAAACAAAGATTTCTATCATTGAGGGAAGCATTAAAAGAAGAACTGATAGAAGCATTAACTGAAGTATTAGCTTCAAAATTCACCACAAAAACTATTGCATGATGTGAAAAGCATGACTTTCAACAAGAAAAACCTGAGGGAAAACAGAATTTATGTATGATATACTGACAATAAGTCATGTGTGTAAGTGATGCATACTCTGCACTGCTTTCAGGACATTCAGAGATTTGAATCACGTTCATTGAGAGGATGAGAGAAAACTCAAGAAAAAGCTTTCAGTATTTCAGCAGTAAGACTACCAGATTTAAAAACGTAAATTGACACACACAGATATATATAGTAACCTACTTTTTTCACTGGTAAAGTAGTTATAAAATCCTTTACAGCTTCTTTGGTAGATTGGAGGCAAAACTGTCCATTTGGTTTATTCTTGTCAGAACACACCTTTGCAAGCATCATGTTTGGTGCAATACCTGAAAACAAGAGAGATTACATCAGTATCACAAAAATCACTCAACAGTAATAACTGTTATGTAATAGTAAAAATGTGGTCTTCTTGCTCTGACATTTATTATATTTGACATAAAACCCATGTCCAAACATCCACTACCAGAACTTTAAAAACTTGTTTGGAACAACCAAAAATATGACCAAATTACATAAAAACAAATACAGAAACCACTCTATAAATAAAACTATCTGGATGTAAAAATGATCTGCCAGAAAACTCATTACATCTTGTACAAGATAAGCTTGCATTATAATCAAAGATACATACCTATAAGGAGACTTAATGCTTTGAAACCCAGCACATGCAAGCAAGAGTGACCCATTACATTTATATAAGCCATGTCTGTAGTGTTGTTAATGTGGTTCTTACATAATGATTTCATCATAGTTTCAGAAAGCTCAAAAAAGTCTTCTGAACAGGTGAGAGTTCCAGAATACTGTTCTTAGTATCAGCTCTTGTGAAAGCCACACACTTTGCAGCACATGATCTTCTAAAACTGCTCCCAGTGTCATGTATTAAGACATTTATGAACAACTGAAATTCTGCTAAGAAAAGCTCAAAGGAGGGATTAGAAGCCAAATGCCATCAAAGAGTCAAATCCAGCTCTTCCACCTAAAGATGGGACATACCCAGAGGGGTATACTGAGCTTTTCTCTGAAGTAGTAATTTCAAGATGAGCCAATGAATACTCCCAGTAGTATGAGGAAAAGAGACGAATGAAAGCATGACCTGAATTTCTTCACGATTTATTCCATTCTCATGATGATGTCAAATCTTCAATGAATGTAAAACCAAACTCAAGATTGAGAAAGAAACAATCATTTGTTACTATTTAGATAAAGATGTAACACTGACAATCCTGTAAAAAAGGATATGGTTCAGCTGTGAGAGACCAGAAGTGAGAAATTCAATTAACAATTAAACATATATAATACCAAGGAACAAGTTATACGAGAACATGATGATAAACACCAGCAATGCCTATTTTGGACACCCACTGATCTTGCAAAGATGCCCAAACAACTGAAGGTCATACTTAATTTGGAAATAAGGTAAGTAAAGGAATTTTCTAGGATACAAATCTCAATATAAGTCCCTCAAATAATTCTGATTAACAAAAATATGATAACGGAAACCCCGATGTGAATACAGAACTTAATCAATATCCCCTTGGGACAAAAACAAGGGGAATTCCCAAAGTGATGGTAGGAAATAGGAACTAGTGATAATAGGTATGAGATTCACGAAACTTTAAGACTCACCTAGAGGGCTATAAAAACACAAAAACCAGGACTTTGGTCTTCCATATATTTAGAAACTTCACTAATCTTCCACTTCTATGTACTGCAACCTCTTGAGTATGTGAAGGGTTATCTACTTATTGCTGAAAAGCTTGCCCAACAAGAAGAGTCTAGAGAAATCCTTACATCTAGCAAAAGGATTAATCCAGAAAAATTAAATTAGAATATATAAACAAAATATTCCAAATGCACAAGAAAATGCCATGAATATTAATACAAGCCAGTGATCTTGGGTTTGAGAGTATCACAACAGGCCAAACATAACTAGTGGGTATAGCCTGAAGCACAAAAATTCATCATAGCATAGACTTTTTGTGTCAGGAGTACAAAATACAGTTCAGTTAAGAAAGTGCATTCTAAACAAAAAAGAAAAGCAAAAATATTTCTATGTGCGAAAACCTTAACCTGACCACTCCAAACTTGAGTTGGAAGTTGTGAAGATGGAAAACACCCAGATGCACACTAGTTACAAAATATTAATTTATTTGCCGCTGACAAACAAACTCAACATTTTTGCTGAAACATAATTATCAATAAATTTATAATAGTCTCTGAAAAAAACTGAACACTTACCAGCACTTGCAGTCAGTTGAGTCTTTTGAAAAATCCTATGTCTAAGTTCTTTCACAACCATTTCTACTATGCTATTTGTATCTAATTCAAGATGTCCATATTTTAAAACTTCAGTAGTTGAGTCCTCAATTTTATCATCAGCTAGATTCTGTTTCACAAGTTGCTGCTTTCTTTGTTGAAGAAAGTCTGTTATATCCAGATAAGCTTCATCTAGACTCATGGGAAGGAAGTCAGGGTCATAGTCTCTCATGATTTCTCGAACCTGCTTGCTTACCTCAGTGTACTTCTTAAAATTACAAGGCACAATAATTAAATTTGGACACAGTTTCTTGGCAATAAACCCTGGCATTGCAGCTCGAACTCCAAACTTTCTTGCATGATAATTAGAAGTTGACTGGAGAAGAAAAATAACAGCAGTTATAGGAAAAAGGAAATGTTTGTCATATCAAAAAAATATATCTTAAAATTTTTGAAACTGGTTTTTACATTTAATATAGGCATAAAACCTATGAGACAGAATAATAGGGGAAGTAAATCAGAAAAGTTTGAATTAAAACCAACTAGTTTAAATCCATTACACAAATTACTATGCACGTTAACAAGACTGGTTAATAGTGATATTACACAACTGATGAATTAATGCAAGACTTTTATATTTTTTTGCTGGTTTGCTATACATATTGTGCTAGACTTAGTTTATTTTGGTTTCAACTTTCTTGAAATTAACTTCTGTGGCTAGTTTTCACTAGGATTGACTAAGTTTGATGGCTACTGAAAAGGTTGTAAACATGATTTTATTTTTATCTATTTTTAAACCTAAGTTCAGTATTAAGCTTTTAATGCCTATAAAATACCGATAAATAATCTACAAATTGTTTTTTACTAAAAATCCAATGAAGGTATCTATGTATGGCAAGAGTCGAGCAGTTAACATTATTTATTAATTACGTACGAGCACTGATTAGTGTCATGTAAAATAAATTATTCATCAAAATATCTCTTTCAGATTATTATTATTTTCAATTATTCCAACTATCTAAGTAATTTAAATATTGCCATTACAATACCTCATTAGTATTTTGGCTTAATTCAAACTTGTTAACCTTCATCAATTGGTGTCAAGACTCTTCGAAATAATTAACTAATCCAAATTAGTGTTTTCCAATTATTCAAGCTATCCAAGTAATCAAAATATTAGCTATTACTAAGTCTGTTGATGCAAATGTACATGAGAGTATGTATGTATTCTCTTGTACATAACTCATGAATACAAGTGTGTGGCTTAGTGGCTGTTGGTTACATAACTAGCCACAGTGGTGCCTGTTGTTCATGTTTATTTCGTATGTCTAAATAATAGTGTAGCTTCAACTTAATATATTAATTTACTAGAAGCTACAAACATAACCAGTGTTACACAGGATAAGATTGCTTTTATAAAAAAAGTAACAGCAAGTTAATATTCAATATTCTTTATCCACTCAAAAAATGTTTATTACTGAATAACTTCCTCATTTAACAGTGTTTTTCATAAATTACTAGATATGATTAGCATAATAATATTTACTACAGTTAATCTATTCACATGAACAGGACTCTTATTTAATTATAACTCTCTCTGGCTAGATAGGAAGCACTGAAAAGGAAGCACAAAAGTCTAGCTAATGTCATGTGCAGCTTAAACACTATCTGATAGAATAATCTTTGAGTTCTTTGATTATCAAATTATCAGCAAGGATGTGTTTCAACAGTTTCTTCCAGCTTGTACTACAAAATGTAAGCATATTACTCTTCTGACCTAAAAACAGTCTTATGAAAATTTGTAGGGAAAACCCCACCAAAGAATATTAAGCATCTTTTCAGCTTGTTACAAGTTTTGTACTACATTGCATATATGATATATTATTATGTACAACAGTTTAGGATTAAAAAAGTAACTTAATCCTAAATTGTTGTACCTGAAGATGTCTATCATATTAAATGAAGGGTAGTTTGAAATTATCTTTAAGAATAACCCACAAGAAGCTAAACATAAGAAAATTAGTCTCATGAGAATAACTGATTACTTTAATGTAAATTGTAGGGATGCACGGGTATTGGGCTACCCGGTAATACTTGGCTCCGGCTGATTGTCGAAGTTATGCATCTAAGTCCTAATCTTTGTGGCAACTAATGTGGTACTGAAAGTTACAGTCAATAATTGGTTTAGTTATAAAAAAATGTATTCTAAGCAACAAAAACTGACCGCTCGCTGAAAGTTGGGGATTCAGAGAACAATAGGGGTTATGGTTTGAGAAGTTGGGGCTGGGCATTGAAAGTTGAAAGTAAAACTTGAATGTTCTGTTGGTGATTATTCGGTTAAATTAATAAATGTCAATTTTGTTTTTGTTTCTTTTTTTTTTAGAGGGGGGAGGAGGCAAGGGAAGAACTCAGTAGACACCCAGCCCCGCCCAAAGCTTAGTGCCCGGGTTTCCAGACCCGGGATTCAGCACAATTTTACTACCCGTGCATCCCTAGTAAATAGTAATGAACTATGTTTATTCAGTTAGCAAATTCCACTAATCACCAAAATCAACATGTGGCATATTAAAACTAAATTCATATCAAGCAGTACATGTTAGTTACAATGATAATAACTAAATATTTTCCAATATTATTATCTCTTTTCAAAATAGTGGTCTTAGTTAATTTCATTTGCAAAATAAATCATTAATGGTGCAGTCGTAAATTGAGGTTTATAAATGTATAAATACTGTAACTACCGTATTGTCCCTAATTATCCCCCCCCCCCCCGGTATTTTTATAAAGCTTACCTTGTGTGACAACAATAGTAATCCAACATATAATCCACTTTATTACTGTAATTTTGACAACAATAGTAATACAACATATAATCCTCTACTATAATCCACTTTTTTACTGTAATTTTGACAACAATAGTAATACAACATATAATCCTCTACTATAATCCACTTTTTTACTGTAATTTTGACAACAATAGTAATACAACATATAATCCTCTATTATAATCCACTTTTTTACTGTAATTTTGACAGCAATAGTAATCCAACATGTAATCCACTGTTGTTGCCATACTTTTGATTTGAAAAAAAGAGAAGAAAATAAACATACACACACACACACTTATTAGCATTGAAATCAGCAAATCACATGTGAAAAATTAGCCTTCCCCCCTTTGCAGTTTGCAATGCCCCCAGGAGCATTAATTAGAGACAATACGTTACTTTTGTGAAATTTCTACATCTGCTTTGACATAAAAACAATGTATACATAAAACTAGTAAATGCAGGTCAGTTAAAAGAATTCTGTTTAACAGAGTACATTTAATGTAAGCAACTAACCAGCATTGACAAAGATCCAACAGCCATAGGTATTTCTTTCAAACTAGGATCATCTCTCATTTCCACTGCTGCATAAAAAGCATCCATATCAATATGGACAATAGTACGTGAGAGATCCCTTTCCTTCTCAAGCACTAGAGTAAACATATCCATCTGAAATTCAATAAAACAAAGGTACAGTTTATTATGACCCAAAAGTTAATTACCGTATTTTTTGGTGTATAAGATGCACTTTTTTACCCCAAAATTTGATGTCAAAATCTGCCTGCCTCCTATACACCAAAGGTATGAATAATATATATGTATATATATATATATAT